TCTGAACTGGAGAGACTATGATAACCTCTGTCCTCAAGACTGCTTGAGAATTACCCCAAGTCAACAGCACAGTTAGAAAACATCTTTCCTCTGACACGTTCCTCAGTGTTAAGGGCTATGTTTATCTTTGGATATAAATGACAAACACCTGATTTCAATAAGCTACTTCACTCTCACCTAGTTCTAGGGCCGAGGTAATATATCCCAGAGCCAGGGTTTTGGGCCTCTATGGTGCTACTCTCCTGACAGCTTCACACCTTGGTACAAAAGAGCTGCTAGAGCACCAGCCATTGCATCTCAGCCAGGAATATTATGCAAAATTAGGAGGCAAGTAGCACATATAGGCTCCAAAAGTAGAAATCAAGTAGAAAGCAAATAGGGTGCAGTAAAGAAACACATGTAACTGCTTATGCTAAAGTTCCCAACACAACAGCTTTGCTTTTACTCCAGAGCTAAAGTGTATAATCTATAGTGCAAAGGAAGCCTCAGCAAACGTGTGCTCTAGGATAAACAAGAGCACATCTGTTTTGAGCAAGTGTAGATGTGGAGTCGGAGGCAGGACTGGAAGATGAAACTGGACCTGGCAGTAATGCATCTGTAATCCTTGCCACCCAGGAGGCCAAGAAGGGGAAAATCCAAGTTCAAGTTTGATGGGGATTGAGTGAATTTATGGCCAGTCTGGGCAACTTAGTGAGACCTCATCTAACATAAAAAGCAAAAATATGTGTAAAAACATAAATCAGTGGTAGAGTAGCAAGTGCAAGGCCTAGGTTTACTCTCCAGTCCTGTGAAAAGAGTTGGTTCTTGGAAGTCAAGAAGAAGAAAGCCTTGCTGGTATTAAAAACGAGTTACTGTGAAGGAGGACCTGAGCCTCCACATAGGCCAACTCCCAGTCTCGCCTGCCAAGCTAGGAAACCCAAGGCATTCAATGTTAGGGACACAAGGCACCCACACCTCTACCACACACACATCAACCACGACAGAGTGAAGCATTCTGCAGGGAACTGAGAAAACCAAGTGAAGAAATTCCTCTATGAAGGAAGATGATAAAACAGAAAGAGGAAGGAGATGGTGGGATTGGAGGAACAGGATGTAAACTCTCAGAGCATCACAGAGAAGGAAGCAGTAACGAAAGATTAGCATGGATGTGTAGACAAGGAGGAGAGATAGAAAAGATAACACCCAGGGTCAGACATGATCACAGCAAGGAGGCCAGCAGGTGAAGTGAAAATAGAGACTTAGAAGATGAGAAATCTAATAGGAGCAGAGTCAGATAAAGTAAGATCTCAGAACAAACTTGTAAAGACATAATTTAAGAAAACTTCCCTAAACCAAAAGCACGGTCAAGTCTCATTTCTGAGAGGTCACACATCAGGAAGAGCAGGCTGATCCTGATCCAGCTTTTTAGAAAACAAAAATTCCTTTAGTACAAAACACAAAAACGTCAAGTGGTCTTAGATTTCTTTTTTTTTAATTTTAATTAGTTTATTTTATGTACATGAGTACACTGTAGCTATCTTCAGACACACCATAAGAGGGCATCAGATTAGATTACAGATGGCTATGAGCCACCATGTGGTTGCTGGGAATTGAACTCAGGACCTCTGGAAGAGCAGACAGTGCTCTTAACCTCTGAGCTATCTCTCCAGTCCCATAATTACTAATTTTGAAAAAAAAAAAAAAAGCTTATTTGAAAAACTGTAGCCATGTCTGGAGCAATGGTTTTTTGGTTTGTGTTTGTTTGTTTATTTGTTTTTGAGGTGGGTGTTGTTTGGGGTTTTTTGTTTGTTTTTGGTTTCTTTCTTTTTTGATATGGAAGAAAATACTGTACATTACATGTAACTGAATTACATATAACTGATTAACGCAAACAACAGAAACTCACAGACTGACATGCTAGCACATCATACAGAAAAAGTTGAAACAATAATTGAGAGAAATACTATGAGATTCTAAATTTAGCCTCGTGACAGGAAAGTTCCAGGCTTTAAAACAACTCTGCTTTAATAGACCTGAGTATGCACTTGATTGCAGTCCAAAATGAGTTGTGACAAAGATGTGGTTGCTTTGGGGCCACATTGGGCTTTCTTAGAATCAATCGGCAGAATTAGAGCAGTAAATAGCACTTGGCTGTGATAGGATCCTGGAGAGCATTCTATGCTGGAGAGGATGGTAGGAGAGCAGGACCACATCCTGGAAGAAGTGAGCAGAGGGTGGGAGGGGCTCTGCACCATCTTGTGAGAAAGGCTTGGCTTTCCCATCCAAGCACACTGCCCTGCAGCAGACAAGCCAAACTTCACACACACACACACACACACACACACACACACCAGCAATCACCTTAAAAGGCACACTCGGTCTCCACAGGTTGTCTTTCAGCATAGGCTACATTGCTCTCCTTCAGGAAGCTGGAGGATTTGCTTTTCTTGTGAAGCTGCATACGCTGAACTACATGGTTCCTCTCAAAGCTAAGCTTGTATAATTTATTTATACATTACTAAGACAAGAAATTAAATCATACAGACTCCAGCCCCATACAGTGCACTTACATTCACGAAGCATGTCGGGACGTGCCATGGGTTCTCCTATCATTTACCTTTTGTAGCAGTTGGTTTTGCTTTAGTAACTACTGCAGCCAGACTGGAATTCTGCCTGGTTTTACTCCATTGGGGTGGTGGCCAGAAGCATGAGCTCTAGAGATAGTCTTCTTGCTTCAATTTTATTTTTACTGGTGTGAATTTAGTTAAACCCTCAAGAAAGGAAAGGGCAGGTCAAGGATGTTATGTCTGATCCAAGGAACACTCAAGTAATAAACAGACTGCCAGTCTGAAAACCACAGGGTCACGAGATACTGTTTCCTCAAGTCCTTGAGCAAATCTGCCCTTGACAGTGAACTTTAGGATATCTAAATAACAGGGAGAATGTGGCAAGAGCTGGAAGTGAGTACCAAATGCCATCACAGGGAAAGGAAGAGTTAAAAAAACAAAGAATAGGGACAGTGTTCAGCAGGGCAGAGTGTGGAAGTGCATGGCAGCAATGAGGGCATGATCCAAGGGTCAAGACCTGGACGGAAATGGGAGGGCTGTTAGACCAGATCAGGACCATCCAGCCTCTGCCAGCTGGGAGTCAAGCAGGATCTTCAGAGAAGGATGAGTCAGGAAGGTAAGCATCTCATCTTCTCCTGCTCCAGCACCCCTGGGAGCATCAAATCACAGCTAAGGTAAAATGCAAGTCTCAGGCCTTGCACCTTCTGGCCCTGCTAATCCTGTGGATACAACTCTACTCAAGACATACCCTTTTTATCTGCTTCCTCTAGAGCCTCCATTCATTTGTCTTTGCTGCCTTCAGTATCTTGCACGCGTCACTGTTCCACCAACAGAGGATTCTATTTCATTTCTATGTTGTTTTATGTAGGTTTTTCTTTTGATCATAAATATATATATAATTTATTTATTTTTTTCAAATTGTAATTTATACTCATTCACACAGGGGTTATAAACACAAAAAGGTAGGACATGGGGAAGGGAATGACACTGGAGTGTGGGTGTTCAGGGGGAATACAGAGATCTTTCAGAACCAGGTATCGGCTGGGTGAAGGTTCAGGGGACAAGTCACTATGACTCTGCCTATGACTTGCTTGTCCTTATCTAAGTTGGTACTGTCTGCCAAGGCTACCTATTTACAAGGTCTATGACTACTCAGGCTGGTAAATTGTCACAAAAACTGCCTGTTTACAATAGCTTATAGCCATTTGTTTCAATGTTTTTCCACTGAGACCCAAGACTTGGTGTTAGTATACATGTATGACAGGTCTATTGCTGATTTTAGGCCTATGGTTTATTTAGGGCTTCAGTGTGTAAGCAGGGCTGCCCCTGACATCTCCTCCCTTCTCTAAGTATAGAAGGGCTGTGGTGAATCTAATCTTGCAAAGGCGGGGATAGAGGCCTGACCTCCAGTAATTGAAGGGGACCTTGTAATGGCTCTGGTCCCCCTGTCGTTGTCCAGTGAGGCATGAGGGCCATACCCATCCTGATGTCTTTTCCCTGGAGAGGGTCTTTTGATCTTTTGAGGCAGGGTCTCACTAAGGCCCTGGCTGGCCTTGAACTCAAGGTAATTCTCTTCCCTCAGTTTTCCAAGTGCTATGATTAAGGACATGAGCTTTCGAGTCTGCTTCCTGGAATGTTCCTTTCCCATCCCTAGACTGCTCAGTGTACCTTTTCTGAGTATTTTCTATGGTGCGGGAGACTGAGCCTGAGACCTCATACTTGCTAGGCAGATCCTCAGTCCTTTATTGATTTTTTTAAAGTTGCTTCTGGATCTTATTAAGTTCCCAGTCTGTCCTGAACTTACTCTATAGCTCAACCTGACCATGAAAACTTGAAGTCCTCCTGCCCTAGTCTCTGGAGCAGCAGAATCACAGGCAGGTAGTACCACTAGACTCTTGTATACTACCCCATCATGTTTATCTGCTCACCACCAATATCTTCCAGAGCGGATCCACTCCCCAGCTGGTGTCAGCTCCTTGATTGATTGATAACATATTTCCCTCATTAGACTGCAAGTGTGTGCAATTATTTATTTAATATATGCCCCTCCCACAAGACTTCGAACTTCAAGAAGGCACTGTTTGGAGCACAGTAATTATGAAAGCCTATAGTGGATCTTGTGTGGAATGTACACTGAGGTCTGCTGAGTTCACTTGGAAGCCTGTCTCCCTGTCCCATCAGTTCTGGAGTGCAACACATCTAGAAACCACTTCTGAAACCAAGGGGCTTTCAAACTTTCTGCTTCATATACCTTCTTTACCAAGGCAGGAAAGGATTCATTTTAGGAGATCATTTGAGAGGACTGACGTGAGTTTTCATAACCCTCCCCAGTACAGAGTCAGAAGACACTGTGTCTCGGCGTGTGGGGTTTCATCAAAACTCTGTTGTAAGTCTCCAAGTTGAATCTGTCACACAGAGATGGTAAGGGATAAAATCGGAAAGTTTTTCACTTACTTTGGATGTTTAAACTTGTCTATAAGATCAACCTTTTCCACCAAGTCTCCTCCGACTGTTCGGACAATGTCATAGAAATCATTCTCCGTGTAGTTCTCGGAGGGCAGCCAGAATGAAATGTCATTGAACACAGCGGGGTACTTGCTAAGAGGCTGACAAAATGGGAGAAGAAGAGACATGCACTTGTTAGTTGCTGAGAATACATTTTCCATAGAAGGTTTTAGTTGGGCAATTAGGAAATACTTGAAAAGCATGATTTGAGTTTTGAATATCCAGAAACAACTGAATTTAAAAGATAACCCAGTGTTCAAAATTAGCAAATTCTAGCTTGAATGCTGCAGATTCTTATCACATTCATGTATAACATGATCATATATTTACTTTGTCACTAATGGTCGATTTACTAAAATGGAATTTGAATATATTGTGTTTCGGCTTTTTTTATTTGAATACCCCAGGAAAAAATTTCAAACCTAATTAACACAGGAATCATTAACTTTTTGTGGTACTTTCAGGAAGCCATCTTAATAGGGAAATAAGTAAGAACTTGTCAAAACTGAGATTTCAATTAGTAAAGCCATTCTTCGTTATAATTTCTAATTATTAATACCAGGGACTGGGCTGATAAGCCATCATTTAGAGATTACTTTTTAATTATGCTTTGAAGATGTGAAAAGCACAAATGTGTCATTTCCCCTGTTTTATTCCACTTATTCTTGGTTTAATAACTCAGTTGTTCATCATTGTATTAAGTATTTAAAATTAGCTGTGTATGCTTCAAAGATGCTGCATTTGTATTCATGCCTGTATGTATGTATATCCTAATTATATATAGAGACACACACATATAGATTTTATAAGTAATGCCACAGTGAGAAATGTTGCAGCACGTAACTGGAAAATCCTACAGGAATATCTCATAAATCTGTGCACTTTTAAGATGGGCAGATGTATAAATTGACTTATGCTAAATCTGGTATTACTATGAACCCTTTGGTGAATCATTGATTAGAAGAAATATAAAATTTTTAAATGGCACACTCTCTGAAGAGCTAAAGACTCATACATAAGTGAATATTGAACTTGAAATATCAATAGGTTGTCAAACAAATGAGTCAGTTTAGAACACACATTTCAAACTGTCACAAAACTGCAGTGTGGCTGCTCTCTGCAGAACCGACTGGACTCTGAGAAGCATCCTGTGGTTTCTCTCCCTACAGGGAAGTCAGGATGCTGTAGTCACAACCCAGGGATGATGAGAGCAGTTGGCACTTCTGTGGTCATGCATGAGGCCTTCCCTTTTCCCTGTACTCCCTTTTTTTTCCTCAAGAAACATTGGAATTTAGGGAGATTAGAGACGGGGACTATGCTTTCGGTCTCAATGGGTACCTGAGGTACCATATTTTCTAATTTCTGATAAGCAAGGTCACAGAGAAATGGGGGAAGGTACCTCAACAGAGAGCATCTGTGCTAGCATAGCAGCCTGTGGACAAGCCAATATAGTGACATGATCAGGCAAAATGCCTCCCTGCAAGATACTTAAAATATATAGAGTGCAGTAAGTGTACTTAAAACCTCATGCATTTAAAAGTAACAATCCACACAACTAATTGCATCAGAATCTATTTTGAAGGTAAGAAACGTAAGAACTCTAAAGTACTAGTTTAAATGGAGTATGAAGATTGGCGTTACCAACTTGACAGAATTGAAAATCACCTGTGAGAATGGCCTCTGGGCATCTGTGGAGATGTACCTGTACCTTCTTCACATTGTTAAGCAGAAAGACCTGCTGATATGGGCAGGACGACTCCCATTCCCTGGGCTTTGATCCAGAGCTGCACATGGAGAACATGAGCTGTGCAAACGTGTTCCAGAGCGTGGATTTGATGTGAGCAGCTACTTGAAGCTACCTCCACCCTGACTCCCCTTCATGATGGGCTGTGTCTTTGAAGTGGGAGCTCAAATAAGGCTTTCTCCTTACTCTGTTTGTCAGAGTATTTAATCACAGCAACAGCAAAGGGGATGAAGACAGGGAACAGTTACTTTAATAACTGGTAGGTATCAATGGGACACCTAGTGTTTTTCAATAGGAATTCAACTCATGCTTTGTAAATAATGACATGAGCCATGATTCCCAAGATGTGGTCCTTCAGATGCTTAACCACCAAAATACCATGGTGGGGGTGGCAAACAGCTCAATAGCTCAGTAATAGAATACATGTCTAGTAAGAATCGGCTCTAGCATTGGCTTTTAGTTAAAAAAAAATCACTGGTAGAAGTTCCTAGACTTGAGTTATAAAAGTTAATCTAAAAGCTAATGCCTAAAAGCTTATACCAATTTGCCTGGTTCTCTGAATTTGGAACTGTAACAATCCACTAAAAACCAGGATTGAACAGATAATGTCTACTCATGATAGGAAAGCCACAGCAGCAACTATGGATCAAATGAAGTTATTTTTCAAATCTTACAACAGGTTAGACTGAGGGTTCATGGTGTGGTTCTATCATGTCTAGGGTAAAGGAACTACTCTCTGTATGTAAAGTACTTCGTGAGACAGAGGAGGAGGCAAGCTCAGCCCATTCTATGAGACTTGAAGACAAGATCAGACAAGCCCTGCACACATTTGAAGAAAGTTGTCCATCAGTTTATGTTGCAGCCTACATGAAGAAACACATCCTCACAACATTAGTACAGTTAACATGTATGTAATATAAAGCCTTGAGATGGCCAAGAAGGGGTTATTCTAAAATAAAAGGAGTGATTTCAAGCCAAAAATAATTAACATGCAAAGAAAAACAACCCATGATTATTTCATAAGGAGGAAGTATTTTATAAATTCATTATTAATTCATTATAAATGAAAAAAACTTAGTAAATTAGAACCAGAAGGCAACTTCCTTAACCAAAGTAGAGATCTTAAAAACCAGCAACAGTCACCAGATTTAATCATATAATTTTAGGAGCATACCAAAAGTCAAGTTTCAGAACAAGTGGGCTTCTTTCACTACTGCCCTGGCACATAGCAGATTACAGCAAAGCAGTAAGGAATTAAAATGAGACTGGGAAAATGCTCAGGGGTAAAGCATTTGAGGACCAGAGTTTGGATCCTAAGGTCATACAGAAACAGTGGTTGGGTATGCTAGTCCATAACCTAGCTACCCTCAGAAGGTGGAGCCAGAGCTCAGAACAAGCTGGCTAGTAAGACTAACCATACTGGAGAGCTCCAGATTTTACTTAGATGCCTTGACACAATAAGATGGAGGAGTGATGAAGGATGATTCCAGACAACCCCAGGCCTCTACACGCAAAAACATTCAAACATACATGCACACATGCACACATGCATGTATGCACACGAGTACACACATGTAAAAATGAAATCAAAGAGTATTAAAAGAAGACTAATTAAAAACTATGAATAGAATTTCAAGAGGCAAAACTTTGTGAGCTGGAGTTGGCCTTTCACAGTTACTTAGAAACTCACACACTTAAACATTCATGACACACACTTGTTTATCTTTATATGAAGGCTGCTTCTTCCAATGAGCTTAGAACAAAATCCTTGTTTTATTAGACAGGGTTCATCCTAGAGGTCTCTACACTTTCAAATGTCACTCTTTAGAACATCTCTCTCTCTCTAAATGTCCTTTTAGATATACTGAAGAGCTTAAGACAGTATTTTCATTGTAGAGTTTGAAATATTTATGTTACTATTTTTACTTTACTGTGGCAATTACTGATACTCAGCACAAGTGAGAATGCAGTTCATCCAGGTCTGGTGCAGGTCTGGCAGGAAGACCACGGAGTGCTTCCATGGCCCCAGGCTCACTCTGGGCTTCCTGACTGCCGAGTGTACCGTTTGAGTCCATGTCTCACTTTATCCTCTAAGCTACCATGCTTTGCTCATCCATGAAGCCTGGCACCCTCTGAAAAATGCCTGGTGGACTCTAGTTGAATTCATTGTGTCAGAGGGTGCATGCCTATGTTCCAAGTCTGTCAGTGCACCTCTGAAGTAGCAGTTCTCCATATTCTCTGGGCTACATGACCTTGGCTTCTAATGAGGATGCAAAGCATCAGAAAATGTTTTTTTAAAATAACTTCTGACCCAAGGCCATTAACCTCATCCCATTGCCTCTCTTATCACAGGCTGACCCATTTAGGGGTGTAGTCCCCAGACCTGGGGGCGTAAGGAGTTTAGATTCCAGATACCATATATTAAATCGGACAGAAATGAGAATGTTGGCAGGTTTTTTAAAACCTCAATTAGTCTCTTTCTCTCTCCCCCGCCCCCCCCCCCCCTGAGTTTCATCTGTAGCTAGGTGGCCTGAAGCTTGAGAACTTTCTGCTTGTTTCTCAGCCTTGAATACAGGAATGGAGCAAGCCTGGCTTGAATTCTCTTATCTTCTTGGTTCATTGGTTTCCATCTGTTCTATGTGAAGGATTAATTCGTATGTTTGAAGGCTTTCTTGCCCTTAAATAAGAACATGTCTCTCTAAATACATCTTTAGATATACTGAAAATATTGTATTTTCATTGTTGAACATGAAATATTTGTATTTTATGTCACTATTTTATATTACTCAGCAATAAATTCTTTTAGTTTTCAAATACATTCATTTAAATAACTGTATCTTTTATATAATGCATTTATATAAATATAGATATATTTCTGTACTGGGGATAAAAATCCTGCTATCATGAAACTATACCTCCAGCTTCAAAAATATCTCTTGCTATTTTCAAATTTAATTGCATAGACATTGAAAAATAGATAATTATTTATGGTTTTGTTGAAACTTGCTCTATAACACCGAACATGGTCAAGTCTGTACATGTTTTTAGTGTTGTTGGAGACTGGACCTGCTTCACTCTGGCACAAAGATCTACACACACACACACACACACACACACACACACACACACACACGTATGCACACATAGAGCTCCCTCTCTTATTCCACCCTACAAATCTACATCTCTTTCATTTTATGTGCTGGATTTTTTGACCTATCAGTTTTGTTTTGTGTGTGTGTGTGTGTGTGTGTGTGTGTGTGTGAAGGGTTTATTTGGCATCTGTTTCCACATTATAGTTCATCATCAAAGGAAGTCAGGACAGGAACGCATGCAGGGCAGGAGCCTGGGAGCAGGAGC